TTATTAATATATAAAAGGATTTTATATTTTCTACATGTGTGGTGTTGGTTGGGATAAATGTAAACATCTAGCTGTCATCTCAGCAGCTATTTCTCTAGGCAGAGCTTTGGTTCCTTAAGGAATAAAAGTTTGCAAACCATTGTCGCTTAAATGTGAACACCTTTTCCCTTTTTGGCTACAGGACCTCGATAATCTGATTCAGGATATGGACAGTGATGAAAACAAGGTAAGTAAAATCACAGTAAGAAGAATTCCTTTAGCAAGAGCTGAACAGGCCAGTCTTGAACCCCAGGATACATGCTCTCTTCCAGCATTTTCTCTGTCATCCTCATTCAAATAAGGGTTTTGAAGGCTACTTTCTAGACTGTAGAAATCAAAGAGCTGCTTAAGGCTGCGGTGTTTTCAAGTGTAGAACTGCGAGATGAAAGAACTGATCAATCTTTATCCTCATAGTTCTTTGGTAGTCCTTGGAATGAGAGCTAGGCGTTAGTAAGACTGGAGGAAATGTATTTCCATGTTAGCTCTGAGATGGCCATTTCAGCTTATCATTCTTTCAACATTTAAACTGCTTTCATTGTGGTAAGGAGTTAAATGATAAAATGTATATCAGAATTGAAGGTTTTTTTTTTTTCTTAGAGGAAATGAGGCCTGCACTAATTGATTTCTTCGTTAGCTTAAATACCAGCCTGCCAAGCTTCTGGAAAGTTGCATATAAATAAGGAAACTCTGAGTGCATATTTGTAGATGAAGTGGCTGTGGATCAGAGTTACAAACTTCTGTAGATCCCAAGTGGCATAATTAAGGATAAAATGTTAAAATTTCTGACTCTACTCTGTCCTTTTCCAACTGACAAACTTGGTGTTTCACGTAGACTGAAAAATGGGCTTTTAATTCATTTTATGAATGATTTATTATTGAAATATTCATGTATTAGCTGCTCCAGAAGAACAACAGAAGAGCAGTAGAAGGCAATGACTATTTTATAATCTTTGCCATGGGGTTATGGAAACAATGCATAAAATAAAATTACTAATGTATATTTCTTGGTGATGCTTTAAAAGAGTTTCCATAAGAGACAAATTTAATGAAATATATACATCTGTTTATCTTTTATATTGGGATCTACACCATGCAATACTCTGCCTCATGTTATGCTTATGTTGCCTTCTATGACAGGCTCTTGAGCAAGATAGTAATCCAGCAAATCCTTGCTTATTTTGTTAGCTTACCTTAACTTTCTAATGGAGTTCTGCCTGCCCTTTTCCCTCCAGATTCAAGCCTACCTGATGTGCAACAAGTTGCGTTCTGCATATCTGGTCTCGGTGAGACAAGAGAAGAGCAGAGCAGTGCAGCTTGTCCAGCATGTGCGCCAGCTGGCTGAGAGTAGTGGAGAAGATGTTGTGCACGCCATCTGTACCCAGTGGCTCACAGTGCACCAGCCCAAAACGAGAAATCGGCTTGGCCAGGGCAGCAGGAAATAACATTCACCATCATGCAGAAGGGGAAGACTTCAAGACACCTTAAAGGCACGCAGTGCAGCAATCACTTGGTAAAAGGGAAGTCTTCTAACTTGTGTCAGTAGCAAATGGAAGCTGCCAGTGTGCCTCTGGTTAAAAGGAAGGGAACTAAATTACAAGTGCCAGTAATCTCACAAATAGTCACTACCTCAGGGTGTCTTTTGGCCCTCTTTAATTTGGGTAGGCGGAAGGGTGGCAATTTCAAACAGAACAAGCAAGATTTTTTTAGGTCTGTGAAAGAGAGCGCTTGCGTTTTTTAGAAAGGCACTGATCTTTTCCCCCTTTTTTTTTTTTAATTTCTAATCCAGACAACCTGCATGGAGAGAACAGAAAAATCTCAACAGCTCAGTGTAGCCTAGAGTATAACACTTTCTGTGATTATAGGTTTCCTTTAGGATTTTTTTGAAGATTTCAGAGATCTTTTACAAAGACTGAAATTCAGAGATGGTTGTTTTTAAAATCTCTACACAAACTATTGCTAACTTCTTTCCCCCACTCCTACCCACTGCAATGCGTTCAACGTTCTTAGTTTGTTGGACAAAGTACAAACTGATTCTTCATGGCAGGTTTCTACTTCCCAGTTGCACTGTCTGAAATACATATTGCACGTGAGTCCTTACAAAATGGATAAAATTGTAAGTGGCATATCCTGCAAAGGGCCTACAAAGGGAAAAATCCTTTAAAATAGTTTTTAAAAAATCACCTACCTCTTTCTTTGCTATAATATCCAATAAAATGTTGTGATGCAGCTTTATCACTGAGCAGATGCCAGTGAACTTTAGGTATGGCAGAAAATATGGAAAGATAGAGCTGTGGCAAAATTCAGCAGTCTGTATTCCTGTCACACAGGAATTTTAGTTTTTTTCTTATGAGAATAACCTGTCCCTGTCAGGTACAGCAGAATGCATTAACAAGACATACTGTGTATATTATAATGTCAGGCCGGAGTGCGTTAGGACGTGTGAAAAGGCAGTATTTTATAGTGCAAGGAATGGAACAGTGGCTCCTGTGCTAAACTTGTGTGTGTGTGGTAAGGTGCTTACTGTGACAAGAAACAGCAGAGTTCTTAGGTTTAATCAGCAAACTTTGTGTCATTTCTGCATTAAAGGATGCTGAAACAAGCAGCTGCTGCTCTGCAATGATGACTTGGACACGTGAAATGAGCAGAAGACAGACAGCAGTAGGACCTTCTAAAAGAAACAAAACTTAGCCACAAGAGTATGTTTGCAGTTAATTTTTCCTTCAGCACAAGATGGGAAAACTAGTTCACTTTTGTTGTTAACTGTTTAGCATTTGACTGACTTTTGAGGAAACAGAACAGTTTCTGCAAGTAGTTTTAGTACATAGAATAACTGAGACTGTCAAGTATGGGTTTTGTAATGTCCCCAGACTCGGTGCAGTGACAGAACAGACTTTGATAGCATTGGGAAGGACTTGCTCCATCCCCTCTGGGTGCTCCACTGCTACCACCATCTCTCCCAGAGGCACAGTATTCACTAGAGCAGGGCTAGAAATGTCTCTCAGCCAAGTCGTCAGAAATGACCGCATTTAGATGTTAGAATCTCCCAATCACAGATTTGCATGATCTCATTAGTGAGCAGTACCGATGAAAGCTGCTTCTGTTTTCCTGGCCAGACTGACCTAGCTTGCCGTCAGCTTAGAGCTGTTAGGCTAATCCTAAAACGTGACACTATCCATCTATTTGATGACTTCTAGCTCTCTAATTATGGGGGGAGGTTCTACTGTTCATGGGTATCCAGTTATGCTTTGCTGTAACACTGTTCTGCTCCAGTTCCTTACAGCTATATAGAGCACAGAGAGCGGAGTTCGTCATGCAGACCAGTCAGTTCTGTACCTGCCTTTCCTCTCGACTTCTTTGCACTGTACTTTATGCACTTTATAGTGTTTGTTGTAATTTGATGTTCTTAACCTGGAATTGTAGGGAATGTTTCTCTTACCAGCAGAACTGGAATTCTGATCCTGACCAACTGCCTTTTGTCATGAATAGTGCAATTATCAATGGTTTGGATTTTTGAGCTTCAGAAATGGATTAAGTACTGCCAATTTAAAAACTCTATAGAAATGACCATGGGCTGTTTACAATGGGGGTGTGTGAAAAGGAGAATAAAGTGTTATGACTGAAAGTTTCAATATATCTTGTTTGCTTTTCATCTCAGCATAGCGGAGTCTTTTATTGTAGATCTGTATTTTTTTTTATGTGGCTATGTTCACCAGATGAACATGGGGAAGAGTTGCTGTCATACCAAAATATGCCTTTGCTATAACATTCTCCATATTTAAGAGCAACTGTGCTATCATCACCTCTTCAGAGGTCATCTCGGTAGCTAGCTCGGCTTATATGTGTACTCTGGCAGACTAGTAATTCTCTTCAGGCAGCTTTGCAAGTTAATGCAACTCTCCCTTACAATACTCCCTTTAAGGCAGCCAAATGAGCTTAAGCACTCATTTTCCAGATTAACCTATAAGCTATAAATGACTTAGCCAAGGTCAGAGAGTGAGGAGACGTCCCTCTATGGTAATATGTGGTTAGGTCTTATAGTGACTCTAGGATCTGATTCATTTGTTTGAGAAAGACACTGACCTAAAAGGGGAAAATATGGCCTAGAGATTCTTTCTGCTTTTTTTTTTTTTTTTATGGTTTGTTGTTCCTGAAATCCCCTTTGATCAGAGCCTGCATGGTAGGTAAACAATCCACTGCTACAGTGTTGAGGGAGGAAAAAAGGTCAAAGCACAGGGAGAAACAGAAAGGGACTTCAGAATATCAGCTAAAATTATTATTTTTTTACATTAGTAAGGCAGTGCAGATACCAGCAAAAACAAGTGAATTGCATCATTTCTGAAATTTTCTTCAAAAAATTGCTGTAAAAAGGAAATGGCTTTATTTAGTATTGATCGGAGGTAGCATGGGACTGATGTACGTGGATAGCTTCCAGACATCATGAATCATAACATGAGCATTTGCTCCCCAACACTGGCAGTTGGTCAGAGGAGTGTTCAAACATGGGTCTAAATACTTCTGGATTTTTTTTTTTTTCCAGAAAAAGATAATCCTGTGAGCTATGGCACTTGTTGAGTTAAGCAGCTAAAAAAAACCCTATTTTTCAGAAACAATCTTGGATGATGGGTCCCATTATATCAATTTTCACTAGAGCTCCAAGGCAGTAAGCTCATGAGGACGTGGATTGACTGAGCTGCCTTTTGACCATGCAGGCTGTATGGTACAGTGAGGTCAGGCTGGTAGCCATGGATAGCTGTGGCCCATAGCTGCTCCGATTTGTTTTCTTTTTCTGTCCTGTGACTAAACTGACCATAATATCAGGATAGCACTGGCCCCTGCTTCAGCTATTTAGCTCAAGGTAGTTTGCTGTCAGAGCAAATTCAATGCTAAAGCCTCAGTGGAAATTAATTGTTGTTTTTCAGCGCAGTTAACTTTCGTTTTAATTAAATCTGCTTTTTTCCAGGTTTGTAAATCACTTAAGTACAGCTTAGATTTTTATTAGGACAAGTTTTATACCATCTTTGCTTAGTGTTTCCACAGCACAGATTGTTAACTGTTTTGAATAAAATAACTAGCCACTACCCAATTTCACCATTCCTGCAGGTTTTAACCTTCCAGCTAGCTGCATTGACAGCTGTGTTCCCAAAAGATGAACCAGTCTTACTTCACAGGCTAGAGGTGTTTAGAGAACATGGAAAATAATGCTTGATCCTAGTTAGGCCAGCACTTGTTTCTGAGTGTTTGTGAGCATTTATATTACATGTAATTGCCAGAAACATGACTACTTGTACTCTGCCCTGTCAAATATTAGGAACAAAAAATGACCTTGTAAATCTAGTTTTTAACGTTTTACTGGTTATGGAAAAAGAGACTAAAGCAAAAAGCAACTTTCAATACAGGTGACCTAAAGCTAAGATGATAACCTCCATTTCTATTCTAAAGCCACAGGACAACAGCCTCTAGCTGTTGTGAGTTACCAATGATTGCTCACAGTATTGGTGCTCTAATTTTCCAGCTACAAAAAGGGATGCTTTGCTTTCTAATCTCAATCATTAAGTGTAGCATTCCAGAAAATCATACTGGACTGCATCCACAGAACCATCACAAGGGCAGCTGAAGTACCAGTGTTCTTGGCAGCAGTGCTCTTCCCAAGAGTAGCATCACTGTGCTCAGCCACATACACACAGATGGCTGCACTGCTCAGTCCCACTGGATGCCGAGGAGCTCGCAGCTCACATTCCAGAGCTTCTTTGCTGTCTCATCATCCCGACCCCATGGAGATACATACGCTGGCTGGCAATCACTGTAAGAGGAATATTATTATTATTTTTAAAATCAAAAATCTCTAGCTGTACACTGAAATGGCTATGATAAAGTGAGGGAATTGCTTTTAATCCATGAAGCTTCAAGACCAAGTAAAGAAGGGCAGGGAGGGTGGGAGTTAGATTGGGAAGAATCTTTCCCAGTGGCACCAAAAACTAGCAACTGAGTATAGCTCTATCTGCCACCTTGATGTTTACAGAACTTTATTTATATTCTGCTGTATACTTGTCACTGTGAGTTCTCATTAATATTACTAAAAAAGATTATAAATGCTAACCAGGCTGTGCAGGAGTACTTCTCTAGCAAATTATAACTAAGTTCCTCAAACAGACCTTTCGAAACTGGTTATCCCGTCCTATTCATCCCACTATATTGCCACTGCATTAAAGATAAAGCTGCCTCTGAATATAATACTGTAATAACTATATATGGTTTCACATTAATGCCATTTTCATTATCCCCTGAACTACAGCCCCTTTCTTCTCAGCTCCTGCAATCTGGCAGTACATTGTCTGGACTAGGGATTGTGTGTTCTCATCTGTAATGCTAGATGCTGCATGTTACATAGAAATTTAAGAGAACAATTGAAATTGCATCTAATGAAATGTAAGATTTCTATCCTTTCTAGTGTTCTTATATCCCAAAACACACAGTCTCTGATGCTCCTGAAGACTGGCAGGCTGCTTGTTTAATATACATACATTGCCTGGAAAGTTGAAAGGCTTTCAGGCCAATCCAGTGTAAAACCAGGCCTGTGTGAGATTTACTGTGAAGGCTATTACTTTCCTATCAAGTTCAAAACTCTGCTTTTTTATGACTTTAAAATCTACCAAAGCTTTCTGTACTCTAGTGCAGTACCCCACTTCTATTCTCAGAAAAACAGTGAGTCTTGCACAGAAGATTAAGGCATCTATTTATATATTCAAGTCCGATTAAGATAAACAAATACCCAAGTGAAGATCAAAGTCATTACAGAGACTAATCTGCTTGCTTATCACAAGAAAGGAGAGCTCTGAAAAGAAACTAAGGCTTCAGTATTGCTGTTGCAAAGGCAACAGTATTTTTTTGGGGAAAAAAAAAAAACAACAACTACGTTAATTTCCTAAATACAGTATTGTTATACTGCTCTACACCCAGCAAGAAACTGACATACACAGCTAAAGGAAACTGTTGAAATTGCAGTTTCCAAATTTAGGACGATGATGACGTAGAACTGTATGGAGCTGTAGCTTTTTTAAGAGAAAAGACATGATTATGCAGTGTCCTGGAGTAGGTGAAAGGAAATTAAGAAACAATCGGGTTTGTAGAGAGAGCTACAACTAATAGTTTAATAGTTTGCAGGCAAGAGTGATAAGCATCCCAGCAGGCATCTCTTGTAGCTGATGGTCTGTCACACTGGAGAATCAAGTTATTTTTGTCATGTGCCAGTCCTGAAAATCTTACCTTCTAGCTCTGCAGCACCACCAGACCTCCCCTCTCTTTGGGTGCACAGGCCCTTTTTGTTCCAACAGGTAAAACTAAACTGATCTCTCCCTGACTGCCTTAGGTGACCTCATTAACTAAACAGCTCTACTGCAATCTAAGGATTAGAGCGCTACAATCGTGACAGCCTTTCCTGCACTTGGAGTCCACTAATACTGCTGGCATGAAATAAAGTGTTGCATAGGTCAGAGATCCCTTCTAATGCAGTATCATCTTCAAGAAATCTAGAAAGGATAGTGCTCTAGTATTTCTCTCACCCTCATTCCAGTAAGATTGAGTTATACCGACCACTTATGTAGTCTCTTCTTAATAATGACAGTAATACTCATTTTTTCTGCCAGTGAGGCTTCACAGTATATCACTCCATCAGCTTGCACCCACCTGAAATATTGTCCTGTCACAGATTCTAGCTCCTCTGCTACTGCACAGTACACACTGGTCTGAGCTCCTTCCCATGGAGTCTTCAAGAAGAATGAAAATATCCTCCACAGCCATGACATTACAAATGAGTGCCGGACCAACTCAGAATGGACAGAGCCAGGATGGAGAGAGTTTGCTGTGACTTTAGTGCCTATGGTAAAAGAAAGTAGCTGAGGACAAAATTAATGTGTCAGATTGCCTTTAAACAGTGGACTAATATCTTCCTCAATTCCACCTGCAACTATTCTGCAACTTACAGAAGAACTGCTGTGGATAAAGGGAGTGTTAATGAAATTTTTAGTGCTACTGCTTTCTGGAGCACTCCCTTGTCCCTTCCAAACAGTGCTGTCACTATATGTCTTCTGCACAACAGTGTACCAGGGAGCCTGATGTTCAAACAGCAATTTCTAGTGGGCTTTAGACAGCAAGAGATTTCTTTGACTTACTGTACTACAATTAGAGAAGATACTGCTTAAGTTTACAAAAAGGACTGAATAACAAGGCCGATACATGTTGTGACTTAAAAGATACTGTCTAGCCCTGTGCTTGTATTTTACAGCCCTTCACCACTGAAGGCAGCTACAACTGCCTTAGTTTGTCCACAAGAGATTGCAGTTCGACACAAGTTCCTTTGTTGTTGTTTTTCCCTCTTCAAATTCTACTCACATAGCACAATTGTGTGCTTAGATGCAGCCAGTTTTTGACAAGTGCCAAATTAAAATCAAATCCATTCAACTGTGTCAGGCCACTGACCTCCCATGCCCTGTTGCTGTTAAGATAATTAGTGCTTTACGTTTCCTAGTTCCATGGATGAGATACATTTTCCTTTCCAACAGAGAGCTCTCAGTGACCCTTGTCTCAAACCATTTCATTTTTGCACAGGCTTTTTTTGTCCGTCCTCCTCACCCACACTGCTCAAGAGCCAAGGAAACCACTCTCTGCTGGGACTTGCCTTGCAGCCGCCTTGCCAGCTCTCGGGTGAAAAGGACATTGGCCAACTTGCTGTGACAGTAGGCGAGGCCACGATTGTAGCTCTTCTCGCCATTGAGGTCATGGAAGCGGATTCGGCCTCCGTGATGAGCCAGTGAGGACACGTTCACAATGCGGGATGGTGCAGACTGCTTCAGACGCTCCAGTAATAAGAAGGTTAAAAGAAAATGACCTGGGGGTGAGAAGAAATTCAGTTCTTCTCTGAAGGGTTTCCCCACTGGAATCACAAAGTACTTTCAATGTGCTTATTATGAGCTATAGCTTTCCTCCTTCCATTCTAACCACAAGAAGGAAAAATGAAAGCACCTGGAAGCAGGATTTCCCACTGGCTTTTTCCAGAGATATGAAATGAAAACCTGACTCCACTGGCCTTACCAAGATGATTCACTCCCAGGTGCATCTCAAAGCCATCGGCTGTCTTGGAGTAAGGGCATAACATTACCCCAGCATTATTAATGAGGATATGAAGTTCCTTCTCTTCTGCAAGAAAGAAAAAAGACATCAATCATTAAATACAGAGATGGAATACAGACAGACACAAGTCAGACAAAAAAGAAAACCCATGCCCAAGTGGCAGCCACACTGCTTCTGTAAAATAAGGATAACTCTCCTACCATCAACTCGCCCATGGCCTCCGGCAAGCTCCTGCTGTAAACCACAACAGCCAACATGGCACAGAGATGCATGGGTCAGGAATCTGATGTTAGCTAAAAATCGCTGGCACTGTAACAGAACTCCCTTCTTGCCTGAAGACACCAACAATAACGGAGGGTGGGGCTGCCTTCTCATTTTTCTGCCTTTGCTCAGAATAGATATTGTTGCACAGAACAATTCCAGATACTACAAATGAAATCCATACAACAAAGGGGAAGATGCTTTCATAGTCACATCAGCAACATGCGGCATTGTACAACACCCTCAATTTCTGCTTTAAAACCCATGATATGCATGTGGTCACACAGGAAGTCAACAGCAGCATAGGAATAGAGCAGGGCAATAGTCCTCCCGAGTTACGCTCTGTTGTACCCTTTCCTTAGCTCCAGAAAGCAGACAGCAGTTGCTGGCAAAATATGCACACTGAAAACAAGGACCCAGAGGTCATACCTGCTAGAAAGCTGTTAGCAAACTCCCGGATGGACTTTGTATCAGCCAAGTCCAACTTTTTCACAATGACTTCCTGATTGTTTGTGTCAGCTCGGATTTCGCGTGCTGCAGCTTCTGCCTTTGCTATGTCTCTGCAGGCAACAATCACCCTTGCGCCTGCAAGGAGGAAAAAGCAGAACACAAACGGATGTCACTGGGAGCACAATGCATGGCCAGAGCTGGAACAAGGGCCGACCACTCAACGCTTACAATGTCTTGTTTCCTATGGAACTGACTTCAGTTCAGGGGAGAAGGTAACAAGCACAAAAACTCTTCTCATAGATTGTTAGCTCCAAGCCAGCCCAGAACCTCTTTTCAGACAAGGAAAATGCACATCTGAAGTGCCTCTGTCCAGCTTCTCCCAGTCAGGTGAGTGCACTGCTGCCCTGGTATGGCCAGTTTGTACATGTGGCACTAAGGCCTACAGCACACAGAGATGCCTGGACTCCAGCCAGAGCAATTTCTAACATGGGTAGTTTCACTGCCTTGATAGTTACCAAAAAACATTTAAACTAATTTTAAAACGTGAGCAACTGAAACACAACAGCAGCAGATCTGAGCCGTTTCCCAGCCCCAAACAAGGATAGCCCTGTGACTCCAGGCACTTGCCTGGTCCTCTCCAAGTGGCCATAGTGCTGAGTATTTTCACGTGCTGGGACACGGTGTCAGGGCTCAAGCAGTGAAGGCAGCTGAGAACTGGGGAGCTGCACTTCAGGAATTACAGCCCTGTCTGAGGGAACTTCAGAAGGTGGCTCTCAGATGGAAGCACGGCCCCAGGCTCAGTAACTCCAGGGGCCATCAGGCTCTGCACCACAGTATGTGGTGCCAGATCACATCAGTTCCAATTAGCACTGTCTCTTCTAAGTGCGGTTAAGCTAGGAGAAGGGATTAGCAGCTGCTGCGGGACACTGACTGCGCATAGAGAATCACGCAGCGATCCTGCCTTGGGCGCAGAGAGGAGAGCCGCACCCGCTCGCAGCGTGACGCTGACTTGCCTCTCCGTGCGAGCTCCCTGGCGGTCTCTTTCCCGATGCCGGTGTTGGCGCCCGTGATCACCGCCACCTTCCCGTCCAGCCTGGCCGCGGACCCGCACCGCCCTCCGGCCACGTACCGCCTGCAAGAGAGCGGCGGGACTCGAGGGCGGCTTCGACTTCGCCAAGAGCTCGGGCACCGCGGCACAGCCGGCCCGGGCCCGCCGCAACACCCCACTCTGCCCGCGCCGGCGGGGCTACGGCTCCCATTGGCTGTCAGCGGGGCTCCGAGCGCCGCGGCCAATGGGCTCCGCGCGGCGCCGTGGGGCGAACCCTGGCCACCGGCGCCCGACCGCCCCGTGCCGCGGCTGCCACCGGCCCCTCCACGGGAACGGCGCAAGCAGTCGGCTGCCGCCACTCAGACACCGCCGCCGGAGCGGCGTTAACAAAAAAGCCCTTTGTATTTCTCCTCCCCCCAGCAAAGAATCGAGCGAAGCAGCCCAAACGCGAACCCCGACGGCACGGAGCCCCCGCGCGGCTCCCCCCAGCGCCCCGCACCTGACATAGGGCGCCGCCGCCAGCATCAGGAGGGGCACGGACACGGCAGCGCCCAGCACCGCGCACCAGCAGCTCGGCATCGCCGCCGCCGGCTCCATCCACGCCGCGTCCGCACCGATCGCGCCCGGAAGAGCCGAGTCCGCCCCGCCCGGGAACATGGGCGGTGGCCGCACGTGGGGCGGGCAGGGGGCGGGCCGGAGCACCCAGAGCACCCAGAGGCGGGGCCGTCCCGAGACTGTGTGCGGCCCTGCGACTACAGCTCCCGGCGGGCAGCGCGCTGCGAGGCCCTCCCTCCGCTGCGGCTGCCTCGGTGCCGCTCGGAGCCGGCCGCCGTCAGGCGTGGGGACGCCGCGTTGCGCAGGCGCTGGACCCCGCGGTCGATGGCGGAAGCGCGGCCGGGAAGCGGCGCGTAGCCCCGAATCGGCGGGAGGCGGCCGCTCGCTATGGCGATCCGCGGCCCCGCGTCCTCGGAGCACCTGGAGCGGCTGCACGAGATCTTCCGCGGGCTGCACGGGGAACTGCGAGTCGTGCCGGAGCGGCTGCGGGGCGGCGCGGCGGGTGAGGCGGGGCGGCTGCGTCTCGTCGCTTTTGTCGGCTTCGCGGAGGCTTCGTCCGCGGCGCGCGGGAGGACTGCGGTGCGGTGAGGCTCCGAGGCCCGGCCCGGCACCGCCCGAACCGCGGGGCTCGTCTGGGCCCGTTCCTAGCGCCCGGGCTTCGCTTACACTCTCGGCTGCGGGCTTGGCGGAGAAGGGGAAGTGGCCGCGGAGGGCTGCCCCGCTGCGGGAAGCACCGCCTAGGTGTGAGTGAGGAGCGAGGGCGGCGGCGTTACAGCAGCGCGGCCCTCGGGCCTCCCAGTGTCCGGGCCGGCCTTCCTGTGCGCCTCGAGTGGGTCCATACCGCATTTGGGCGTAAAGTCATAAACCCGAGAAACAACGGTGTGCTCAGAGTACGGCAGTCTGTGTGCTCGGTGACGCCAGGCTATGAGTAGTGCAACGTTTCACTTCTTTTCCCAGCTTCAGTCTAATACCGCTTGAAGTTCGGGGTCGCCATCCTTGTCATTTCCAGAAAGTACAGCAGGAGAAAGACTTAAAACTGTGAGCCACAGCTTTCAAGAAGAGTGTAGACGGGAGGAAGAAGAGGCTGCCTGAAGAAGCTGTGGAGTCTCCTTCTCTAGGGATATTTAAGACCCTCTTGAATGCTTTCCTTTGCGACCTGCAGGGAACCTGCTTTAGCAGGGGGTTGAACAGGGTGATCCCCAGAGGTTCTTTCTGAACCGTACAGTTCTGTGATTAAAAACTGCCTTTATTTTGCTGGCAGTTACCAAGAAGGAAAAGCATAAAGGAAGGAATACCCTTTTGTGGAGAAGTTTGATCTGGGCATCATTTCTGTAAAATTAGTGGGAGGTGGTTTGCAGGGAAGGGTGAGATTTTGTGCTGCTTGAAATCCAAACTCAGCCCATTGTTGGGAAAAAAAATGGGGAGAGCCCACCCTCACGCACATTGAAAAAATGCCCCAGAACACTTGAGTTTCAAAGAACAGAGATTTCTGGTAGCAAATTCTCATTTCCTTGCAGAAAAGAGAGTTATCAGTTTTGTGGAAAAAAGTAAACCTTTGCCAATTCCCAAACAAGGAATTCTGAGCAGTGGCTTTAAACAGAATATTGACAGGCAGCAATTTCTTCTGTGCTTGAAGATCATAAGCAGACTACAAACATTTTTCAGACGTGCTTTGAAATGTTAATATGATGGATTTATTCCTCAAATTTGTCGCTGAACACTGCTGTTTTTGGGAAGTATTGACAAGGGTGTTCAAGTGAAGTCAGGAATTTGTCTCTGGTGAAGGCATTTGTAAGGCATTGTTTGCTGCCTGTGCACACATGGGTCTTCATTTTTTGCACCGTCATGAAGTCTGTGGGACAATAAATGGTGTCCAGTGTACTCTGAGATGACTGGTACCTTCCCAGACTGCAGGGAAGACAGAATGTGTCATTGTTGGACTATCAGGGGCAGAAGTGTGGAAATGTTCTCTCACTCTCCATGAACAAGAAAATGAATTCTCAGATCTGGAACCAAGCATTTTCTTCCTTTCTAACTTATAAGAAGGCATTTTAAACAGCATCAATCAGTTTCGACCGTAGATACGGTCCTCTGAGCAAATAGTTGTCTTTTTCAACTGGTTCTGTTTCGATTGATTGAAAGTGAAGTCTCACAGATGTTCATGGACACGTGGGTGATGTTTCTGTGGCTGAAGTGCAGTGCTGTACTGATCCGACTGGGGGCACCCAAGGAGGGTAAAATACTGCTTTAGGTCTCAATTGTTTCGAGACAGCAGCAGTTGTTCAAGAGGACAGTGTGTTCACCAAGGGAGTAAAGTGACCTGCATGAACAGAATAGCGACTTTAGAAAGTTGTCTGTTGTTGTTGTGTGCCCATGTCCTCGCTAGCAGCCTGGCCGTTCAAGCAGTTGCATCCGCACAAACCTACATGGCAGAAAAGCAGGGGAGGAGCTGAGGGCAGTCAATTTAGGAACCCCCTAAGTCAGCATTTCCTGCAATGTGAAACTTATTCTGTCTTAAGTGCACTACAGGTCAAGCTCAGGAGCTTAATGGGGATTTGAACTGAAGGGGAAGGGCCATGGTGTGGGCATGGCGCATCCACAGGATGAGCTGTTTTTAAGTATTTTGATCAAACAACCAATGTCATCCCTGAAAAGAGAAGTATTTGGACAACCTGATCTGGTGTATTGATGTTGGCTTTAATCTCAGAGCACTCTGTAAGGTGCTTGTCTTGTTTGAGTGGTTGTTTTTAAAGGACTGCAAGGATGCAAAAACCCGATTTGCTGGAAATCAAGCTTTCAAGTTCTGCTCTAATTTTGCCTGGCCTTATCTCACATGTTGCTTTCTCTTCTGCAGAGGAGAAGAAAAAGCTAATTCGGGAGTTTGATGAGAAACAGCGCGAAGCAAATGAAACGGTAAGCTTAAGTCTGGAATTGCGACCTTTCTGGACAGTTAAAATGTTGATTGCCTTAAAATGGACGGTATCCCAAGTTTTACTTTAATGTTCTTATGTTGGCAGACAAATGTTGTATTTTTTAATTTCTTTGATTCATTGGTGTGATTAATATGTCTGTATTTGTTATATAGAGAGATGCAGACAAGGATGCTTTTTCTGTCCGGTGCTCTGGATATTGCCTTCCCTTTGTTGAACAAAGGAGAGTGGTAAAGCTGCAGTTAGAATTGCTGGAGATCACAGACAGGACACACAGGGAATCTGCTTTATGTTTTTTTTAATTGCTGTTTGGTGTTTCTTTGTTTTTTGCTGCCTTACCTTCACATTAGTATTAACCACATCTTTCTGCAATAATCTGGTGAATGGCCAAATGTCAGGGACCTTAAATGTTTGCAGCCTCTGTTGTATGGGCTTCCTGGGCAGCAGGTGACATGGGACAGAGCAAAAAACCCGAGGACTTGTCTTTCTAGGCAAAACTGCGTCACGCTTTGTTTTCTTACTGATGTGCTCCTATGCTGACTTATAACTCGATGCGTGTTGTTTGCTTGTTTTGTTTTACCACAACAGTTGCAACAGAAATCTCTGGCTCTTCCTGGGAGAACTGTTTCTGAATTCTTTTTGTTGAGGCACTGTACAGCTGAAACCCCAGGCGGGTTGAACTACGTTGCAGGAGTGGTGTAGTTGATAACAGATGAGGGACATGGGGTTAATCGTTCCCCCCTACACCCTGTATCACATAAGAACGTGTGAATTTCTTCATCTAGTGATGAATACTGGATACAGCTGCTCGTAAGAATAAATTTGATGCTGTAAAATAAATTTTCTTTCCTTTAAGCTCCGGGAAATGGAAGAAGAACTGAAGTATGCACCTCTACCGTTCCGCAATCAAATGATGAGCAAAATCCGGGCATACAGAAGGGACCTCTCCATGTTCCAGAGGGAGATAAGAAGCACAGATTTGGGATTAGGCCCCGGAAGTCAAGGGGATATGAAATATGGAATCTTTTCCACAGAAAATGAACAGAGTGTGAGCATCTGATAGAAACTGTATTTAAACCTTCTGTGATTGTTTACAGTAATGTTTCAGATATATCGCTTACAGTGTTTCTGGTTTTAATCCACTTGCTTTCCTGTATAACTGTCTGTGTATCTCTTTGTGTGTAACAAGAGTATCTTGGGAAGGGGAAGAAAGGCCTAGAACTCATAAGAGAACTTTTCTGTTCTAAAACACAGATACAAGTGTAATCAAAATGGTAACATGTGGTTGATTGCCTATGCAATGTGTGTTTAAGAGACTTGTTAAGGGTACTGAAATACTTTATTTAATCACTACCCTGATGAGAAGAACGGTAAGCTAATCTTGATTTTAACTCCAAAATGGGATGAAAGTCACATACACTGTATAGGTTCTTCGGTAGTGTCTTCTCTAAAGCAATCTCAGTTTTTTTATACTTTCTGGAAACTATTTAGTCTTCCTGTATATTGCACAGTATGGCTGTGTTGCTGCAGAGCAAGAAATACAGTGGTTTACCACATCTGTTTAGGTATGTCCAAGAGCAGAGAGACTGAATTTGCTTACTGTATTCAGAGAGGTGTCTATATAGAAAATTTGTGGAAGTGGTTTTTTGTTTCTCTGCCTTAGTTAAGAAAGGTTTGAGGGAATTTCCATAATACAGTAGCTAGGTACATTTTTGCATTTGATTCTTCTTGATTGCATCTGGGAGCAGGATGGTGAGTCAGACTTTTGAAGCTTAAGAAAATACTCTATGTTGAGCTACCTCTTCACCCTGAGGTCAGCAAACATTTCTTGCTCTCTATCTGTGGCTACTGGCTTGCAAAGAGGAGCTTTGTTACTTAACAGTCCATCTGCTAGTGCTTTTTGTCTGTGACTGAGTAATCTCCTAATAATCTCCCTGGCAACTAGCTGTAGTGTCAGAAATGAGACTGACATTAAATCTGAACAAAATGGAAGCATCTGGAAGAGCCCAGATACTATTTTCATACAGATGTTACTTGATAGAACAGTGAATTATTACAAAGATTGTAGCTAAATGTCTTAACTCTTTAGCTGCGTACCCTTCTTTCTGAATATGTCAGAAACCTGGTGTTTAATGGTTAAACATATGTTATTTTTCAGACTAATCTGCAGTCACAGAGAGTGCTGCTTCTCCAGGGAACAGATAGTCTGAACCGAGCCAGTCAGAGCATTGAGCGCTCACACCGGATTGCTGCTGAAACAGATCGGATTGGCACTGATATCATTGAAGAACTTGGGGAGCAGCGAGAGCAACTGGAACGCACCAAGAGCAGAGTAAGTGGAGAACCTGTGGGCCGTGTGCTCACACAGCCCAGGGTTAGCTTAGGGGGAAATGTATGCCAGACATTGTACTCGGAGAACCCCAGATGTGGTGAGCCGGTTGACGCTTGAACATACCAAAGGCTGCCACATTGCTGTGTTGTGCTCTTAAAAGGAACATCTTCCTCTAGACTGACCCAAAGCATCTGCTACTGTGTATGTGTAAGGCCGGGTGATTAAACCCATCTACTGCTGCTTAAAAATTTAGCATTGCTAAAAAACTACTGATCTAAAACATGCTAGGGAGTTGCCCGCCACGTAAGATTAACAGTAAAGGTTTAGATTTGGGAGACATAAGTTCCTTTAATTAAGTGAAATTTAATGGCAGCAGCTAACACTAACCTTGCAATATTTGTATGTTAGCTGAGGCAACAGTTTGGTTCATTTCTGAGTGTTACCAAGCTGAAATGGATCATCCATTAACAGTTCAGTGGTCAAATACATTGGGTCACACAGGCCTGTCAGGGCAACATGTTTATGTTCTTTGCTGGAAACTTAATTGCTTTTCAAACAGTTCTAGATACGCACTAGAGGAGAACATGATAACAGATGGCAATTGTATTGACAACTAGATTAATTAAACCAATTTAATAAAAGGGCCTCATACCAACTTTGTAATAATTGTAGGTAGGGTGTTTGTAAATTTCTTGGAATCTTTGTGAGTACTTAAAGGAATATATCCCTGTCAGCCTTATTTCTGCCTTATTAAGGAGACAGCTACTCCTTTTGTACTGTGCCCGCAGAGCAGTGTTGTCTCTGAATTTTGAGAATATATAGTTAACGTTGATCACATTTGTTGGTGTTTAAATGTTACAATTAAGAATTGCATTTGCATGTTTAGAACTGTATGTTTTTTCAAGTGGCAAATAACTTTTGTTTCTTCTTAGTTGGTGAATACAAGTGAAAACTTAAGCAGGAGTCGTAAGATTCTGCGTTCCATGTCCAGGAGGTGAGTAGCACCTGACTTAGAATGGTGCAGTATTCATGTTGTTGCTTACCAGTTTATGGAAAAAAATACTATAGTGTTAACTGGAACTTTGGGGAGATCTTAGGGCATGTGCAAACAGATTGTGTGGTGTGATTATGCTAATTTGTTTTTTTTTCTTTCTGGTAATTACTTAATGGAATTGTAGGTGAGTGAACACTACTGAATTTGTGCTGCAAATTATTTGTATCCAGTTTTATTAAGATAATACTGGGGTTACAACAATCAGGCATGATAGATTGTAGTGATGGGAGGGATTTTGTCTAAATTACTGTCTGTTTCTAAAGGTAACTTTTGAATAGTGTTTATTCAGATTGGCAGACACTGTGCCATAAATCACTGCAGCATTAAGTGATTTAGATGTCTGATGACAGAGACAAATCTGTTTAGCCCACAGGAATGCCTTAGCATAGCTAGACTGTTATTTAAGAAACACTGAGCTTGACCCTACCCTACGTTGATGACTAAAGCCTTGGTTGCTTAAGTGTATTTATGGTTTAATTGTATGGTTTAATTATTCTCATAAAGCAGTTCATGGAATATTTTTTCAGTAGGTACTTATGGTCTAACAAGCTTTTTCCTTTATACTTACCATAATTTCCGTTAGCAACAATTTTCTCTTTGAAGAGAAAAGTACATTAAATTGAGATTTCTAATCTTAATTCAACTGTGTAGTTTCAAATAAAATTAGCACAATATAGGGTTTAAAGCTGCAGCAGTTCAACTTAAATGTTCCTTTGTGCTTAATTGAATAAACAGTCACACACAGAGCAGGATGCTCTGCCCTACTGGGGAATGGGGGCGGAGGAAAAGATTTGAATATTGAAATAAAAGATGGAATACAAAATTTCAGGAAAAATTAAATGGGCAAACACTAAGCTTGCCTTCTTGCTTGTTAAGTTCTATTTAAAATAGTACTAGCTGAAACAGGGGAGCTACTTTTTGAAGGTAAGAATCAGCTTTTTTATTATAAAAACAACCTTGGATTATTTGTGTTTTTTATTATTTTTTAACTCTAGAATAGCCACTAATAAGTTGTTGCTGTCGATCATCATCATCCTGGAACTAGCCATCCTAGGAGGTGTGGTCTACTACAAGTTCTTTCGCAGTAGATGAACCTTTGTGACTTTGTTTTCCACTGCTGAGGAGTAGGATGGGATGTCTTCCCTGTGATTGTCTAAAACTGAACTATCTCATAAGACAGCATGCACCGCTGAAACTGTCCTGACACGGGAAAGACAGTGAAAGGAAGTAAAAGGAAAATACAGAGACAGACTAGCAAACTACTGGTGAGATTACAGAGAAGGTAATAAATATTTTATTGCCTCAATTTGTATATACTTAACTAAATGAATAAATCTTCATATGTAATACAGTAGCCACTGATCAAGTGGAAAAACTACTTTTATTTAAAAATTGACAAGTTAACAGTATTTGCCGAGTGTTGACAGTCTATTCGCTCGTGTGTCTCAGCAGAGCTCTTTCATGTCTAGCGTACCCAGCATTGCGGGTTCTTAAATCCTCACTTGCTGTTCACTGTCAGATTCATCTGGAGAACTGGGTGTTGGGAGTTCATCAAAAGCGGTGTGCGCCCCTTCTCTTGTCTGTCCAAAGCACGTTGCTATCACATCAACTGCAAGACTAGCAGTTGCATTCACTTCCTCTTGAGAAGCTCCAAGCAGCGGATTGACTTCAACCATGTCTACAGCTGAAAGCATTCCTGTAAAAATTACGTGCAGCTTTGTTACTATGTGTAGTTGCTGTTTGAACCAGTGATCGATCACCTGGTGGGAAGGCAGGGCCAACCTAGGGGAGCTCAGCTGCATGCAGTGTGCCTGAGTGACCAGAAGGGGCGGAGCCTGGATCCACCCCTTCCATTTAAGTGTTGGCAGTGGAGGTGGGGGCATCTCATCTGGAGATCCCTTCCTCCTTCAGGACCTTACAGACCTTCCAAAGGTAAGCAGTTTTTCTTTCTCTTGTTTCTGTGCCTACTGCTGTCCCATCTAGGCAGATACTCACTCACTGTAGCCTAAGACATTGCTGCTTTGGTATGTTGTTATGCTTTGTATCACATTACACTAAGAAAAAAGTTTAAAGCTGTAATAGGGTTTATTTGCAGTCCATCATTCTTTGCAATGAGTCTGATGTTTGAACTTCTGACCTCTTCTGTCCATTGGACAAGTAAAATTGGCTCAAGTGAGGGAAGAGGTCATTGTTTTTAGATGCAAGTTTTTTTCTTTGGTTCCTTTTGTTGTTGCTACCTCTCTTCATCCATGCTTTTAGCATTCGGGAAAAATTCAGGAGTTTGATCTTTCACTTACAGTTCTGAGGTGTGCTTTGTTACATAAGACCATTTTATATTGTCTAGCTAATTTTTGTCATCCTGTTCATGATTCTGTGGAGGTTTCTGCTTTTTTTTATTTTTCTCATAACAGTTTTTATTGTAAATAATTCATAACTTACACTAAATGAAGTCTCTATGTCACAAGGAGAAAACTCTTAAGTTAGCTGCTGTGTATAATTGGTGAAAACTTGATTTTATTTTATTTTTTTTTAGCTTTGCATCCTAGAATAGGATCTCCAAATTATTTAAAATGGTTTGCATCCTTTTTCCCCACGTTTATCTGGTCTCGTGTGAGTAGGTATAGGGGACAGTATTTTGTAGGATGACAAAACCACTTTTTGCACTAGTTGTTAATGTTTCTATTTACTTTTGAGAATGTTGATGGTAGAGCTGTTTTCAACACCTCAAGTACTGCTCAGTGGGAGGAAACTGTTCATCCATTATGAAGGCTGAACTGACTTCTCAAGCACCTCGATTTTTGGCTATATTCATCTTATTTGGTTACACATGAAAAATACAACTGCTACAGGCTTTATGTAGTTTGTCCTTTCTGGCTTAGTGCAAAAAAGCTTGTCAGCTCTTACCTGTGTTGTGTATTTCTTCTGCAATGTACATGCCTTCTCTGTAAGTTAATCCTCCCAGAACGGGAGTCCCAGTTGCCGGAGCCAGTGAGGGATCAAAAGCATCGATGTCAAAACTCAGGTGAATTGGTCTCTGTCTCCTGTAGACAACAGGATAAGAAAAGCGATCTCAAAAACTTAATACTTTTTCTATACGTATTTTGTCACTGTCCCAGCCGATCAGCAAAGTAGCATCCTCTTGCAAGATCTCTGCACAAAGTCCTACACCATGTCATATTGTATAGGAACTGCTGAGTCACGGCCTGAACCTCTGATTGATCACCTGAGGCGAGCCAGGAGTCAGCCAGAGGAGCACAGCTGAAGGCAATTCACCTGTGCTGCCGGAAGGGGTGGAGCCTGGCTGCACCTCTCCTAGACCTATTTAAGAGCTGACTGCCAGTGGGGAAGGATCTCTTGTGGAGATCACCTCTACTGGTGTTTTGTGGGTGAGCCCAGGATAAGGGTAAGCCTTCCATTTATTCTCTTTTGTTATCATAGTCTACTTTGCCTAACTCTCTTGTTTAGTTTGTGATTATAACATCCTAATATTCTTTGATTATACACATATGTATTTGGAAACATGTATATTTTTAATCTTTTGGTTTTTTGAAACATCTCTTACCTCAAACTTTTTTCTAATATACCTTGGGAAAGCAGAAGTTTGTCTTTCTAGTTTCACTGGGCATCTGTTTCAGTCTAAGGAAGAAGCTGTTAAATGCTTCTACCCCATTCACTGCAGCTGAATTCAGTTACATATATATATATATAGATATAGATATATATACACACATAATTTTGAAAGGGATACTCAAGGCTCAGAGTTGATTCAACAACAGCAAAATACAGGATTCCTCAAGAAACAGGACACATAATATACAGCAGGCTTTATTAGTTGCTACCGCTGTAATTCCTCTCTATTTTTGCCAAACACTGTGAAATGGTTCTGTTCTAAAATATTCAAGTCAACGCTACGGCTTAATATTTACTGGACGCTTTAACACTGTGCTTAGGCCACCTTACAAAATCAGTGACCTTCACTTACATAACTCTTGGGAAAGTAAGTACTCAGCCAGTTGATAGAGTAGTTAGGCCCATAGTTTGTTACCTGCCCATCAGTTGTTCAAATGTCCTTTCCATAACTTTCTGGATCCCAAGGCGATCAACATCCCTCATGGAAAAATACTGGATGTCGTAGTTTTTCAAAATATAGCTGTTAGAATAAGATTTTAAAAATAATCGTAATTATTAGCGGCCTAAACTTAAACTGTACAATTCTTGTGAACAGCCAGGTGTGGAAGAAGCCCGTGATTTCAGTTTACAAAAATCCTTTAAATCAACTTACTATTCAGCAGGATCCACATCCCTCAACCCAATGTACACAATATCAGATGCTGAAAGACAGGGCTTTAGCCAGGAAAAGCCAGGAAGTTGCGGGACCTGCAGGCAAAGTTTTGGTGTTAGATTAGTTTAATGAATTATATAACAAACCTACATTTAATTCTTCCATCAAAACTTTACTTATAGCATCTTCTCTCTGCCTATAGAGAAGAGTTCACTACTTGAGAGTCTTGTTTCCTGATGTAATCAGTCCCTGCCAATGTCACATCATTTCACTTGAGCTGAATACATTGATTAAATTTTTTATTCAGTCTGAAAAGGAGAAGAAAAAAGCTCAAATCCATAAGCAATTGGTAATTAGTATTGGTGAATGTATTAGGAGATTAGAAGAAGCAGGAAACCCAGTGTACTTAATGGCAGTGTGAGGTGACTTAGCCAGTACGTCCTACTAGAGTAGGATAAAACCCAAGGTATCTCTACGTTTTTAGGGAAGTCATCAAGAAGTCAGGCAAACTCTTGCAAAAACAGGGTTAAAAAGCAGGTTTCTAGGTGGGGTAGGGAAAGAGAGTCTGTGTTAGGCTTTATTGTGAGGTAAAACTCCAGACAACAGGTCTAGAACAGCAAGGCTGCAAATGGAAAAATGATGAGATCCCACTAAAGGTCAGCTTTGATAGTGAAACAGGTATACTGTGCAATTTTGTTAAAAATTTAGTCAGTAACATCTGTTAATTTCAAGAGTGCTTTAAATTATCACACGCTATTCTTCCTCTCCTAGCTCTGAATATGTCTAGAGCCAACATAGCAAGAAGGTTTTGCTTCCCTTATATACTTCTCAATTACTAATTATATCCCAGCAACAGCATTTGAAGTCATAACGCACTTACAGCCACACGCAGTGCTTTATGTAAGTATTGCTTTCTTATAAGACAAACAACATTATTCACCTTAGGGGAGCTTCAGAATTTTCTTTTGCTCTATTTCTCCTGCAAAAGCAGGCACAACTGCCAAATAAAAGTCATCCCCTTTAAATTAAAAAAAAAGACAAGAAATACAGTAGCCTTCTATATTATCTTTCTCATGTTGTGGAACTATTTCACAAAGCCCTATTCATTTTGCATTACTTAAGGAATTCTAGCAAATTTGAAGTGACTATACAAGAATTATTAGCAAGAGGAAAGTATTTAAAAGAACCAAATAGTTATTCACTCGCAGATGGAATTCATTCAAATGAACTTGCAGGAGAAAGGCAGAAGCACTTCACCAGCTGAGAGCAGTCTTTCTATGCCAGACAGGTACTAATGTTACAATCTCTTCAACAACCATAAAGACATTAAGTTACTCTTGATGTTATTTGGAAGAAGCATTTTATCAACACAGCAGCCAAGAGATTTATCAGGGAATAAACAAAATTCAAGGAATGACTAGCAGTGCAAAGTTCCAAAATAAAATCAAGAGTCAGCTTTTGTGCAGATCCAGTGTCTGTTCCCAATATGCAGTTGCCAGTCCTGCTCCTCTCTCCAGCCTGATCCTTAACAGAAACTTGTTACTTTTTCTAAGTTCTGACCCTAAAGGCTTCTGCTCCTGACAAGTGCTCAGGACACCACTCTTGTGTCTCCAGTAGATCCTACAGGGTCCTTGTAGCATCGTAGAACAGTTTGGGTGGGAATGGAACTTAAAGACAATCTCGTTCCAACCCCCCTGTGTGGCAGGGACACGTGGCAGTTAAGAAAGCACTCAATGCCAGAAAAAGTAAAATATGTAAAGGATTTCAATGTAGGCTGAATGTCTAAGCAAGATACTTACTTTATCTTGAAGTTCTCTCAAGAGAAATGAGAGAGGCTGTCCATGGAGGTTTCCAGACTGAGTTGTAAGAGGAGTGTTAATATCAGCATGTGCATCCACCCAGATCACACCGAGATGTGGGCACTGTCGTGCGTGGCCACTGACGGAACCAAGTGCCAAGCTGCAAGTACAGTAGCAAAGTCTTTACTCAACTGTGCAAAACATTGTCCTTGTAGTTGTTCTGAAGGGGAAATAGGAAGTCTCCAAATTCAGACAGCATCATTGTCATGTTTCGATATATTGAACACCCCTGTGATGAACAAAGGGTGTGTGTTGTACAACTACTGGC